CAATGTTAATAAACCGTTTGCTTAGAAAATAGAGTCGTCATTTTTTGTTAATCGGCATATAAATAATCTCCTTAAAAGTTCTAATCAGTGTATCACGTGAATTAATAGAGGATAACACCAAATTACAATATTTAAAGAAAAGCCCATCGGCCTCCTATACAGGTCAATCAGTTTCCAACAACCGGGTCAAACAGTCTTTACTTATTTATTTCAAACACACATTATTATCATAATACTATAACAATAATAACGATCACCTATTACTCAAGCACATATCTACATTCATTTTCAATGCTTTGTAATAAATAAAATATAATTAAACTTAATTCATATAATATCATAATGGTAGACAATAAAAATCTTATTAGGCAAGAATGATTATTTTTTAAAAATTACCAAAATATCAGAAATTATATAAAATGATGTTTTAAGATTTTCATTATACTACACTACTATGTTTAGATATCAAAATAAATTTTTGAGTAGACAAAAATATTATATATAAATTAAATATGTATAATAACTCAATATATTGGCTAGATGTATAGAAATTAATGGTATTTGTTGGGCGAAAGTTTACTCTTCTCATTTAATAAAATAACGAAGGAATCTATATGATCATTGTTAAGGTAACTATCATATAATAATTCATTAATGCCACGTCTAAAAATTATAATATTTTCAGAAGAAAATATTGTATCACCCCTACAAAAAATTAAAAATAAAATACACAGTTATTAAGCATAGAACACACAGTAATTATATATAAAATATATAATAAATACGTAGTTTATAAGCACAAAATATGCATTAGTCAATAAACATTCAGATAAAATACTAATAAAAATGAAGTTAATAACATAATGAAAATGTTTACTTGTCAATGAACTTAATAATATATTCATCCAAAAAATATTTCTTCTCAGAACTCAACATCTCTATGCCAATACATTCCACTTTTTTAATTGCAGGGTTAACAGTTATTAGAACATGATCAATATTGATTGGTTCTTTTTGGGATGCATTAAGAATATCTTATTTATATTTTTTGTATACTCTCTTAGTTTTTGTAGTATTATCTTCCTCTTATAACTCACTTGTTTTCTTTTCATTAAAAGCTTGGGCATGAATAACTAGTTTGTCATGGGGAGTATATTATATGTGATATCCTAGAATCTAAATTGGAAGAATTATTAATTCAAATTTTAAATAAATAACATTCAGAGCTATCTAATATCATCAATCAGTAATAAATAATAAAATTAGATTCTATAATGTAAAACATCAATTTACATATATGTAGTCATTCCTAAAAATTATATACACTACTTATGATCAATACAATTATCACAAATATATATCATGTCATGAGTATAAAAAAATAACTAGAATAAAATGAAATAGAACCTGAAGAATCATGACTAGACTCCTCTCCTGCTATGATATGAAATTATTTAATCATATATAATGAGCTTAAAAAGTCTAGTAGGTCATCAAAATCTATAACTAGATTCAAAGTATAATAAAAGAGCAATATACACATCAATAATCAAATCATAATGGTTACATTCATATGATTATTAAATCAATACATAAATATCAAAATTCATATGCATTAGTAGTAAAATCTATAAACAATAAAAAACTATAATACGAAATAAAACCTATAAAGCAGTAAATTAGTATGAGTGTTAAATTCATAAATCAATCATATATCCATAATCGAATAAAATATCAAATCAAAATAAGAATTGTCAAAATCAATCAATATAGTAAAATCATATAAAAATGTACACATGCTATCTAAACCTTATGTATCACATGTCTATTATATTAAATGCATAATATCATTATCGTGAATCAATTGTATTAGTATCTATAACAATAACAATAAAGTGGTAAGAGTAATAAAATAATGTGATAACAATAAATTCATTTAATAAAAATAAATCCATATAATATTAAAAAAAAACTCAAGAACATACATTTCAGTAGTCATACTAAACAATTAAAAAGTCCTGATTATCACTGTATTTTTCAGTATTAGTATTAATATAAGTAAACCATTGGCTCATTAATAGAGTCATCACTCTTTGTCCGTCGGCATAGTAATAATCTTCTTATAACTCTCAATCAGTGTATCGCATGAATTAATAGAGGATAACATCAAATCATAATATTTAAAAAAAAAGTTTGTCGACCAACCATTATATACAGGTTAATTAGTCTCCAACCAACGGGTCAATCGGTATTTACTTGTTTATTTCAAACACACATATTATTATCATAATATTATAATAGTAATAGTGACCAACTATTATTCAAGCACATATCTATATTTATTTTCAATGCATTGTAGTAAATAAAATATAATTAAACTTAATTCAAAAATGTTAAAATGTCATAAAGGTAGACAATAAAAATCTTATTATGCAAAAATATATATTTTTATAAAATTATCAAAATATCAGGAATTATATAAAATGATGTTTTAAGATTTTTTATTATACTACACTATTAATTTTATACATCAAAATAAATTTTTTAGTAGATAAAAATCTGTATATTTTTAAAATCACATTTAATTGATTCTTTAGTATATAATTCAAATAAATCATTTTAGGACTTTAAAAATTACATACAAATATAAATAAAATAAAACATATTATTTAAAAAAATATTAGTGAAATCGATTTGCAAAATAGACATCTAAAGGTCCCAAAATCTTTATTTTTACTGATAGGTATCAATTTCTTAAGGATTTTCATCAGATCCCAAAAATTATGAAAAAAAGTATGTAAGTAAAATACTACAATCAAAATACTAAGATATGTTACAATTTGGTGTTATATCAACTCCATAAAAAACTTAATAAAGTTAAAATATGGGTTATTGTAGGACTTGTCTTGGGCTTTGGACTACTCTTGGGCTTTGGACTGCTCTGGGGATTTGGTTTCGTCTAGGGATTTGGTCTCATCTAGGGCTAATGTTTTTATTTGCTTGGAAGATATCACTTTATTTTGCATTAGATAATTGCAGGATGAGGATAAAAGAGTAGGTTGTTGCTCAGGATAAAGAGTGCATGAGTAATATAATTGTAGAGCTTGTCATCAATTAATTCAACTCTTTGAGCTAGTTGCTTAAACTTCTTATTCATTCTACCTTCAAATTCATGAAAGAGGTTAGTGCAGGTATCTTGGACTATCTTGATTATTTTCTCCTGGAGAATATTGAATGATTGAGTTGAAAATAAAAAGTGGGGTAACTTAGGTGATTGAGGTTAGGGTTATTGGGGAGATTGGGGGGAGAAGCTATTTAGGAGTGGGGGTTTGATTGGGAGAATGATGGATTGATGGATATTTTTAGATGTTCAAAAGATTAACTTCCTCCTAGGTAACTCCTTAGAGGACATCAAAATTTTATGAAAAATTAATTTGGTAACAAATCCTTATTCTTTTCTATTCTTCTTAGAGGTATTTATTAAAATTTGCCGCATGACAAATATGCATATGTACTTATCTTTTTTTTTTAAATTAACAAATAAATTACTGGTCTTCTCGGTATTATATACAATGTTAGCAGCCCATGGAAGAAAATATGACCTTTTGTCCGACTACTTAGGGGTATGAATGAAAGTTTGCTCTAGGAACCAAACCTGTATAAGATCAAAATTAATTTTAGCAAATGAATTAGTTAAATTAAATAAAAATTTAAATGAATTTAACACTCATAATTAGTAGAGACACAAAATCATTGATGTAACCTATTGACTTGTTCTTTAAAATCATGATAGATACCTTATTAAAATCTTCAACAAAAAAAATTCCTAATTGACCACAGATAGTTAATTGATAAAAACTCAACTATGTTATTTGATATTATATGTAGAAACATAGGGGTTTTGAAGTTACTAAGTTGAAAAAAATAAATTTGAATATAAATACATAATAAATATTTTGAACATAGTCACTAGGTTACTATGTATATTCAACTCCAATATTTCAAACTTTATATTCGTTGATGTGACTCCTGTAAGTGACAAGGTAAGCCAGTAAATCTCTTCACCTATGTTTAACATACCAATAAGGAGGGTCACTTCATCAACAATGGAAGGTATAACATGACACTTATAATAAAATATTACTTTGAAATATTCCAGATCGTTAGTAGCTCATAAATAAATGAGGCGTTTTACTCGAATCTAGGAAATTGAAGAAATTGATATATATTTAATCTATTCAAATTGTTCTCAACATCAGGAGAAATTATCTCATCAAACTTATCACAAATTGTTCAAAATGTTGAAGCATAGCATCAATAAGAGATAGGACAAACGTAGATCTACATAAATTAAGAAAACAAACAAATGAAAAAGAAGATAAACAGAAGATACACAGAAATTACACATAATTCACGTAGAAAATACGCACAGCATAAGGTAAGAAATCATTAATCTTTTTATGTTACGAATGTTTTTGTTATTTGCGTTTTGATGTGTTTACTTGATTATTATTTTTATGATCCATAATATTTATGTTAAAATGTTAGAATTTTAGTTTTTAGCAAATACACATAGAATTTTGAGAAAATACGCTGAAAAATAAATATCAGCAAATAATTATGCAATTATAAAACATTAATATAATATAAGGAGTCGAGAACAATCAATCTGTTGTACATAAAAAAACACAATTATTCCGGAGTACAATAAAAAAAATCAATATGTTGTACGCAATAAAAATGCAGTTATTACGGCTTAAAATGATAGTTAACAACACAAGCAACAAATCAACTTTTTTTTTTTGCAAGTGACTTCATTTGCGCAAGAATTGATAGAAGAGAATGCTGGAAATTGTAAAGAGAATTTTTTGCAAAAATTTGAGAGAACTATGAATTCCGGGTATTGAAAATCATATAGGTGCTTTTTAAAATGTAAAAACTTTCTGCATTTTACCTTTTTTTACCCCGCTGACAATAAATATTAAAATCGAGCCCATAGGCGGGCTATCTGCTGACAAAACTGCATTAAATAATTTCTCCTAGGCGATATCGCTCGTATCTACTTCGCTTCGACTGTAGCTCCGTTTCTAATCGAAAATGTCAGCTTCGCCGTCTTCCTCGCTTGTTTTGAGCGCTTCTTCGCCGACGGTTTGGTTTATTTCCTTTGTTCTCTTTTGGCTTGGGGCTCCAATCTATTATTTCGTTTGAATCATTGCCATCTGATCTTGAATCAGGTGAGGAAATGGCCCCGATCGGCACGATCGACTTCGAATCTTCTGGTCCACTTCCGGCGATCTTTCCCGATAGTCCTTGCATCATCTGGAAATGCGTCTTCTTCTGTTGGCACTGGTATGATCTTTACTGATATCCCCTTTATTTCCTCCCGAAAATCCGAATTTGTTTGTTTAGTTCTGACTTGTTGAAATGCAGCTATGAGCACCGAAATGGACGCTGTGTCTAGCTTCAGCGAGATTGTTCCGGACACAGTGATTTTTGACGATTTTGAGAAGTACGCGGTACTTAATATTTTGCTGTTTTTTAATTGGTGCCTACTGTTACCGATGATTTCATGATTTGAGGGTAGGTTTCCCCCAACAGCTGCTACTGTTAGCTCTTCGCTCCTTTTAGGAATTTGCAGTCTTCCAGATACCAAGTTTAAGGTGAGGAAGTGTACTGCTTTTGCGACTTTGGTTTTATCTCAAGAGCACACGATTTTACATGTTTTTGTAATTTGTTTCTTCAAACTATTAAAAACAATGGCGTTGTTGTAGAATGCTGTGGAGACTGCATTGGCAAATAGTGAATGTTATGAACAAGGGAAATCTAGTGACCGGATGTCCTGCTTCTTAAACAAGGTCATTCTGATTGTGCCGTAATTTGAGGATTTGTACTTTTGAGGAATGATTCTCGGCAGCTTATAAGCTTTCCTCATTTGCAGGCTTTGGTTAATGTTGGCGCTGACTTGGCTAGATTAGTCCCAGGTAGGGTGTCAATAGAAGTGGATGCCCGTCTTGCTTATGACACACGAGGCATCATTAATAAGGTAGAATCATGTCTATGATTTTACTCCTTTTCTACTATCCTTGTTTGCTCAATGGCCAGATACTACAATTTGGTTTTCAAACATGGTGAGTTTGGGAGCCTTTGAAGCCATCTCTTGTCTAAAAATCTTCTATATCTTACCCTTACTAACATTTTCTCTTCATCCATTCGCTGAACTACTGCACTTTTGATGTTATGCTTGTGTTGTTGTGACAACTTCTGCCAAACGGACTCAGTCCAGCTAAACCTTGAAATGAATGCTAATACTTATACAAATCTGGGCATACGCATACACCTAGCGTCATGGAAAATAATACAAAGGAGCTCAAATCATTGCCATTGTGCAGAAACACAGTTGCGATATGGATTAGCTTAGAACATTGCCACCTTGCAGAAACTCAAAGTCATTATAATCTGTTACAATAATTGATTAATTTTTTGCCTAGTTTAATGTCCATCGTAGTTCGTTGCAATGATATGCATGATTTGAAATGTTGTTGCTATGAAATGTGATCAAACATATAGTATAAATTAATGTCTAATATGTGTTTTTAAAAGTGAATTGTAGCTATGATCTACCCCATTGCACAACAAATCGAGCTTCTTATGTGTATTTTTTGCCTTATTAGCTGTGATTGGAAAGTGCATGATTCTTGAGGCTTGAACCATAAGTGAGAGCAACAATCTTTCATATGTGATAAGCTTGTATGCAAGGTACACAAGATGCCATAGGAAGCTCCAAACTCTCAAAAACTTATACCAAAGGTTTGCTTTTATTTTCTTTATTTTTTTAGATGTCTTTTCTGATATGTTCCAAAATCTACACCAAAGTTGATCCACATACATAAAAAAAAAGGTGATCTAAATACATGAGTAATAAGTTGCACAAAATCATGCAAAAACACATAAATTTGCAAATCATGAACTCTTAATTTGGATATTTATTTATTACTTGAGATTAAAATGGGAGCAAACATAAAATCTACATAGCTGATAATTTAATAGCCTTTTAACTTGAATTATGCATAGAAATTTGGAAATATGAAACCATAAAATCAAGTGGAAAATCATGCTACTATAGAAATTTAGATTGTATCAAACTCAAATAAAATTAATCACATGTAAAACAATAACAGAATTTTAGAAAACAAGAAAAAAATATAGAAAGAAAAGAAGTTACCAAATTAAGCCTTTCGCTTGTACAAGGAGATAGCCTGCCCCGAAAAGCCTAAGCCCTCTTGATCAAGGAGAGGACTCAAATGTATAAAACATCTAGTTTGAATTTATTCATAATAACTTGGTTGAGCTTTTATGTCTCTTAACCAATTTTTATTATCATAAACCCCCTTAGATTTACTTTAGTACAAAATAAGCAAAATAAGATTTGACCTCCAAAAATTCTAAAAACCAATAAAGACATCAGAACTTACACACATGATCCAAAATCCAATGATCAAGTAACTCATAATTAGATTATTGTTCCAAGAGGTATGGATTTAGTATTTGTTAGGCGTAGGTTGGCAAAAGCTATTTGAGATTTCTACCATTTCTTCCTTTGCAGTGGCTTGGTTTCCTCCCATTTGGACACAACTTACCTTATACACAACAAATTCAGTATTTTGGCATAGATTTAGGCCAAAGTAACCTTCTAAAATCTTGGTTGAATTTTATGTCTCTCACCAATTTTGATAATTTTAAAAGTCCTTTGATTTACCATAATACAAAATAAGCAAACTAAGAATCAACCTCAAAAAATTTTGAAAACCAACAAACATGTGAGAACCTATGCAGATGACCAAAATCCAATGATCAAGTAACCAAGAATTAGAGTTTTGATACAAGTGGTCTAGATTTAGGATTTGTAAAGGGTAGTTTAACAAGTTATTTGAGATTTATACATGATAAATCACAAAAAAATGCCTTGATTGGGTGCGAATATCGAGGCATGTCGAAGTTGAAAACTTTCAAAATTAAATTTGGGACCATCCGAATTTTGATTTTAGCAAACTTATAATCAAATTGAATATCTCAAAGAGACAAGCTCAACGACACCAAAATAAGCCCAATCCGAGCCCACATAGCTCTAAATCAAGTGACCAAAGCACTTTTGGAAGGTTCAAAGCATTAATTAGACACTAAATGATATCCAAATAGGGCATACTTATAGTCGAATCGAGCGGCTCGACAAGATGAATCCAATGAGCCCAAGATCACTTAATTTGAATATTGTTAAAGCACATAAATGCTTGAAAAATGCTCTATGATCGAGGGGATCAATATCGGCCGTTCGATGGAGCACTTTGCATTTACCCTATATCTTCTCCATATTTACAGGGCATGCCATTCACAACATCTATAAATAAACCACCACTCTCTGGACGAGAGGGATCTTTGGCTAGAGATTGAAGAGAACTTTGAGGCTTCAAAAGATTTAGCACCACGCCGACAAACCTCTGTTGACCGCCGATGGACCCCCCCCCCCCCCCCCCCCCCCCCCCCGCCATACCCACAGCTTCGGAACATGGCTTGTCGATGATCACCCGCCCAACCATTGTCGGACCACCGTCCGACCGCAAATCGCTGCCAGACTTCAACCCGGTCACCAACCGCCACTGGACTTCCGTCCGACCATCTTCAAACTATTATTCGGCCACCGTCTGCTGCCGGACTTCCACCCAATCGGGACTTTCACCTAACCATCGTCGGACCACAACCCGGCCGCCAACTGCCGCCAGATCACTACCCTAACACTGTTGGACTCTCGCTGGACCAGCGTCAAACTCCTGTCTAATAGCCGTCGGACTCCCGCTTGACCGTCGTCGGACTTCCATCCAATTCTCCAAACTATTTTAGTTTACACAACTTACTTTTTTGATGAGTTGTCTCCTCCAATCATCTACTTCTTACTCTTTCTACACTTGTAAGTTACCTACAATCACCTGTCAAATTCTATAATTTGTAAAATTTATAATTCAAATAAATTGTATACAATAAATTTCTACTGACATAACAATTTACCTCAAAATCTTCCTTTTGCATATAATCAATGATACTTATGACACAATTAGATACAACATCTTTAAAGGCTATTACTATTTGAAATTTACAAGACACTATGCATATAACAAAATTGCTTATCTTGATTTCTTCTTCCTTCAATTTCTCAAGGATTTTCCTTTAATTGGAATTCTTTAATGAAATTCCTGCTCTCAAAGTCTGTTGTAGAAATCAGTTGATCTTAGCAATATACCCAAAGAATTTTTTGCTAATCTTACTAAAATTAATTACAGGTTTACTTACCCAATTTATACCTTTCTCTGATCTTCTATGTGCATTCAGCACTTCCTCTTGTTTTTCTTAATAAATCTTTTCTCACAGAAAATTGAGTCTTACGACAATGGTTCTCTCACTGCCGCTAAGTTCTCATAGTGCTTAGCCTGATGTTTACGTGTAATCAATTAAATGAATAAGAGAAATCTTCACTCGGTTACAGCCTTCTCCACCAATTTCTGCTACAGTTGATTTCTTCCCTGCACCATGCCATCACCTTCCTTGCAGCCGTTCTCCATTGTAGCTCCATTGTAGCCGCTCTCGAGCACTTGAAAACCCACAATTGTTCTTTGTTTCACACAGCCGAACACAACATTTTGGTTCGGTTTGTATACGTGAACAGATAATGAAAGGAGGCCCACATTAATAACTGCTTCAAACTCCTTTGCAGCCAACCGATCTTTCTATTCAGGATTAGGGAAGCATTTTAATTAAATTTGACTTTTTATTTAATATAAATGCTAAGATTTAATTAACAATAATAATTGCTAATATATGATAATAATTTTTGTTATAAAAATTTTATTTTATTTACCTGAATTTTTGTGTGTTTACATCCATATTCTCACTCCCTGCTAATCTCTCACTCTCTGCTCTCTTCAAACTGAGAGTTTAAAAAAGGAAGAATAATTGGTTGCAAAAGCAAGTACTGAAGGAATGACATTCCTTTCAAGGCAAGGAGAAGGAAGCAAGGAGTCAATGATGCTGGGAATTATGGGAAGAGAGGGTCATAGACTTCAATCAAGGAGGCTACACTTTTGTGATTTGATAAGTTTTCACCTTTTCTATATTTGTTTACAACTTTATGATGTGACACATGTATGGAGTTACAAAAAAGATTAACAAGATAATTTATTAGAGGTTAACCATCATAAAATTATGCATCAAATCAAAGAGAGTTAAGAAAATTTGCGGTTTTCCTTTTGCTTAGGCAAAGAGATACATGAAGATTAACCAAGACACTCTCAATCCAATACAAAGACGAAATAATGTCAAAACTTATAACACAAATCCAACAGTTAATAATGAGATGTTCACCGTGAGGATCTGCTCTCTCTCTTACGAATCTAGGCTGAGCGGAGAAATATCTTCCACACTAGAAATGAAGTGACCACTAGTACGGACGAGCCGAAGAACGTCGTTGTTGGGAGGGTAGTCGGAGTTGGAGGAGGCACGAAGCGTCCAATGATGGACCACGGGGTTTGTGGTCGTTGAAGATCAATGGTCCCGGCAAGGCAATACACAATACGGTTGACGTAGCGTTCAACTGTGACGTCGTACTCCCAATCCGGTTCGTAGAAAGGGGAGAGGAAAATGTTGATCTCCCCTTGCTAGTTGTATGCGAAACCGTGGTCGACCTTAGGATCAACCATGCACTGTAAGCATGGGGATGAGGGCGATCGAGAAGGAAGACCAAAGAGAGAAGAGGGGTGGAGAGGGGAAAAGATTGGGCCGTGGACTTGGGAAGAGGGGGTCACAATTTGGGAGGGAGAGAAGGGAGAGGGTGAGGCTATTTTGTGGAAAGAATAAATCTGAAGTTTAATTTCAGATTCCAAATAAGAAAGAAAGGAACATTTTAATTTCAAATTCAGATTTTGAAATTTGAAATTAAAATTTGGGGAGGGAAAGGTATTAATGAGGTATTAAGTGGTGATTAGGTGGCAATTGGAGAGAGAAAGAAGGGAGGAGGGGTGGCCGACCATATGGGGAGGAGAGAGGGGCTTGGAATTAATTAGGTGGGGCCCATAGTGAATAAATAAATTAGGATCAAATCTGAATTTAAATTCAGATCTGATTTAATTTAAGAAAACTTCCTAATTTGGGGTAATATGGGAGGGAAAGGGATTTGAATTTCAAATTTGGGTTAATTCCCTTCAATTGACTTTCCAAAACAGAGAAAGGCTATTTAGGAAAGGGAGTTAATCAAGGGAATTTGAAATTCAAAAGAAGGGGATCAAGGGGGCCAGCGGCAAGGCTGGAAGCAAGGGGGTCGGGGCAAGGCTGGAAGGCCAAAGGGGGCGGCGGGGTGGAGTCGGCTGGCTGGCGGTTGGCTTCAGCCGACGGTAGAGTATGGAGGAGGGGTGGGGTTGCGGTGGAGGTAGGGAGGCTGGGGGTGATTGGATTGGGACGGCGGGATGGGCTAAGGTGGGGAAAAACCGTGGGAGGGGGCAATGGAGTTTGGGAGGAACTTGAGAAGGGAGGTGGGGTAGGAAAAAAATGGAGAGGTGAGAGAATCCAACTAGAAAATCTCTTCCTCAAGAACTCACTAAGAGATCTTGGGATTTCACTCAAGAATTCACTAAGAGATCATAAAACAAAATTTTCATTCATCCAATAATCCTCATACAATAGAAGAGGCCATAATATATAGGCCTAAAGAAAACAACATACAATGACGTGCATGCCCCTGGGGCTACTACTCAAAACAAATAAAAGAATGGGTACAATTGGTAACATCAAATAATACATAATATCAAAATAGAACTAAGCATCAAAATAAAGACTGTGGATCGTGGCCATCGATCTGCGCCTCCTGTGCTGATATACCTGTCGAAAACGTCTGTTGATGTCCTCATCACTTTCACTATCATCTCTCCTTGGTGCGCATCCTTTGAATTCCACTCCAATTCCCTCACACAATCAATTAGCATAAACCTTGCAAGAAGAAAATCATTATTGATCTTTCTATGTTCACCATCAATTTTTTAATCACAAGAAATCCTAATCTATTAATTAATTTCTATAATTTTCTATAAGGTCAATGTTAGACATGTTGCTTTGATGAAGCATATATCCCCTTATAGTCTACGATTGAAGAGAGGTTTTACTAATAATGATTCCTCCATTCTTGTATCATTCTATTATCTGTGGAAAGCATAAATTTACTGAAAATTAGCAATTCCATTGCTTTTCATTGTATCATTGTTGAAAAATCATGCATTATGATGATAATTCCCAATGGAAAAAGTGGTTCAATTCTTCTATGACTGTTAGGCAAATTGACAAATTTGACACTTGATTTACTTTAGGGAGTAGGTATATTGTTAGGGAACTATTTACTTTTGTATATGCCTCCAAATGTGAAATAAATAAATGGGATAGAAAGATGTAAAAGTTTGTCACTCAGTCTCAGAATTATTGTGCTTTTAAAGTGTTTTTCTTTGTATACGGTAACTTCATAAGGATATGTCATGTTTTTGAAAAATTACTTTCATTTTTTCATCACCCATTACGGTTGAACTGAATAAAGAAAATACGGTAGAGAGAACCCTCAATTTTCTTGTAGCTAGAAAACTTTTTTTTTTTTTTTTTTTTGGCTTTAAAATCTGCCACCAACCATTTGGTTGAGTATTATCTTTGACCTCAAAATTGAGGTCGACTGTTCTAATCTCTGCTAAAAAAGGTACAATCCGATTTTAAATAAATAATTCAGTTTTGAGCTAAGTGTAAGTCTGTAAGATATATTCTTTTGCATGTTATTCATGTTCTTACGAGTTTACGCATAACCTTTAATGATAAGAAAAAAATGCTTCAAAATTCTTCTGCTATTATGTTGTGCTAACATTAACTTCCATTTAAATGTGATTTACTTGGTGTTTTAACATTTCAGGTGCATGAGCTGTTGAGGCTATATAATGAGGTTGAGGTTTCTTCAGAGCGTCTCCTATTCAAAATTCCTTCAACCTGGCAAGTATGATTATGATTCATTAAATCGTTCATATTATTCTAATGTTTGAGATGACGTCCCATCATCCTCTCTCAACAAATTATCATTTGGCTAAATTTCCATTGCATATCAGGGTATTGAAGCTTCGAGGTTGCTTGAAGCTGAAGGAATACAAACACATTTGACATTTGTTTATAGGTAGTGGATAACTTCCTTTGCATTATTATGGCTTCACAATGCAAAGCATAGCTCATATTGCTTTCAAGCTTCATGTAGCAGATATCTAGCATTAAAAATGCTAATGCCTTGTCTGTCACACATGTTGACTAGACGTGCTGTTTTCTTAAGATTCGTTAATCAGAACATTATGAAACTGAAAGCCCAAAAGGGACAAGCAAAATAAATAATTAAGATCCATCATCTATTCATATTACCAAGTTATACTATTCCTTCTTTACTGAAATGAGAGTTGAATCATGTCATGTTTCTTATAATCAAAACAACCACACAAAAATTATCTACAACTATTTTGTTGATTGGAGGAAGGAGGTCTTCTTCTCATCTGCGATTCTAGAGAAAAGGTATGGCTTTACTCTCTTCATATCTGCCTGCAGCTCTTCTCTCTCTATCTTGCTTTCACAGTCAGTATTACTTGATTGCCGATCCAGTTTGCTTCTCCCAAATGTCCCCAAACATTGTCATAGGACTTACCCTCATCCCTTAGTTCTCCACCCTTATACCCGATTCTCTATCAAGCTTTTTTTCTTGCTTAGCCTTCTCAACATGCTCAAAGGTTATCGTATCTGTAGGATTATGGCCTTTTTGAACTCTACTCTTGAGCTCTCCCGTCTGGATCGAGCCTTTGCTCGTTGGGTTGGCATCAATAGGCTGTTATTGGATGAGAGAGAGGCCTATTTCTAGCTCCATTTGTGGCTAGAGATGGTTTTATCTCCACTAGCTCACTAGAAGCCACCAAAGCTCTTACATTCCTTGATACAATTGGTTCTTCATTTCTCTAAATATGACACTGCTTTTTTTCTCCTTCCATCTCCTTAATCTAAATATGACAGTGCTTTTTTCTCTTTTTTCCCGTCCGTCTCCTTATTTCCTCATCTTTTTTCTACTTTGGATTTTTCTCTTCTCAAAAAATAAAAATATCAAAATCTATTGCTATTTCTACTTTAGATGCCCCATTCTTCATCACCACCTTTCCAAAAAACACAGAAATGCTCATCCAAATCATAAAATCTTATCTTTAAACATTTGGAATTACTTTTTTGTGTCCCATACAATATCAACTATATGGAATATTTAGAGATATCGTCTAATGTTAATTACATTCTATTAATATCATTATCATATGCCACTTTTAAAATGTTTCAGATGTGATTATTTAAATTTTTATGAGTATTTTTGTATGATAGACAAAAATTTAAGTTCTAATATTTTGATTTGAGAAAACGAGCAATCTCCGAACTATTTTAAGTTTAATTATTTCAACTATAGACTTTTCTTGTTCTTTAATTTGATCTTTCAACTTATCAAAGAGGTCAAATTGAAGGATCAAAAAAAGTCATGTTGAAGGACAAAAAAAAGTCAAGCTTAGTAAGTTGATGGATCAAATTAGAGAATAAGAAAAGTTTGAGTTCAAAATGGACACAACCTAAATAATGTTGGGTCAATCTGGTCATTTGCTCATTTTGATTGTTTGTTAAGGGGTTTCTATAATTTATCGTTTATGACACTGTTGAGAATGAATGAGGCGACAACACATCTGTTTTAATCTGCTACTCTAACTTTGGGACATTATTCACCTTTTTGATCCTTCAGCTTTCCTCAAGCAGCGGCTGCAGCTCAGGCGGGTGCGTCAGTTATACAGATTTTTGTCGGGCGAATTAGGGTAATTTTCTGCTTTGAAATGTGACTTTCATTTCAAACTGTTTAATAGACATAATTTTGAATGCTGCTCTAGGATTGGGCTCGCAATCATTCTGGTGATCCTGAGATAGAAGCTGCTTGTAAAGGAGGACAAGATCCTGGTTTGGCTCTGGTGAGCATTGTAGTACCCTTTTTTTTTCTTTTGCTTCCTGTTAGCAAATTCACTTTGTCATGCTGGTGTATTAGTTGAAGACGCATGCTAGCATATTAACCATGGGAAAACTGGAACCTTATTGGAAGAACCTTACAGCTTTATTCATTTTTTTTTTCCATTAACATCTAATGGTGGTTTATCTTTGTAAATGTATGCTGTTGCTTTATGAATTCATCACAAACTCAGTCTTTACTTGTAAGTCATTTACTAGGAAATCTCACGGAATTTTCTTTAATGAATTTAGGATTCCTGTAGGCGTGTTATAAGTCCCTTGCAGCATCACGTTTTTCCAAAATGCATGCATCTTGCCACGAAGGAATGCATGGTTTTGAAAACCATACCAGACCGGCTGGTTCGGCCGGTTAGACCATGTACCGGTCCTATGGCCGGTTCGGTCTTCTTGAAAAACCGGGCTAGCTAGCATCAAATCGGTTTAAACAGCCGGTTCCACCGCCCGACCGTTGAACCGGCCCGTTCTTAAGAACCAACCGGTTCAATTAGTTGAATATAAACTATTTTTAAAATATTAAATTAATTTAAATATGATATAATTTCGAAAAAAAATTTAAGAATATAATTCCCAAAATTTCATAATATTATATTTTAAATTTTAGATAATCATGCCCACATGATTCCTTCACCCCATGTGGACTCTTAACCTATGGATACAAGAAAATGTATATAAATAACATAACATAATGCTCCTAAGTGATGTGGGACTAAATCACTAGTAGTTTCTAGTTTCTAATTTCAATAATGAGTGCAAGATGGATGTTTCTAAGAGAAATTATTGGAAAATTTTTGTATGAAATATTCAATTAAAAAATAATCATAATAATTTTTGAAGTTCTTAAATATATAATTATTTGTATATTCATAAAATTTTATTTATTTTTAGTCTCAAAATTCTTAGAATGATGAAATTTTTTAGATTAAATTGGCATTATTATTATATTAATTTTATTAATTTTTATAATATTAATATTTATTACGTCATCCAGTTCGACCCCGAGAACCGGTCGACCGTGAACCTCTTATTTTACTGGTTCGTTGTCTGGTTTAGTTTTTAAAACCTTGATAAAAAGAATATAATGCATTTGAAATATTTGTTGTTTGGTTGAGTGTAAAAAGAATGTAGGAGATTATTATTATTTTTATTTGTTTTGAAATAAAATGAATACAATGTAAAGTAAAATGATGTGGTGGCCAACAAAGGCGATAAAGGGCAGTGGTTCGCAATTGCAGTCATTGGCAGTGGTGGGCTGTAGCAAAATAGTTGGCTTGCGGTGAAAAAAAGGAATTCTGTCAAAATTGGGCGAGTTTACAGTACATCAAAAATGAATTGTAGAGTGGAAAATAAATTCATTGAAATTTTACATTGCATTCATTTCACGTAAATTTTATTTTATATTGCATTCTTTTTTATTACTTTTTAGCAAACCAAACATCCCATAAATCACATTAGGGACATCGGGAGAAGATGCCAGCTGATTGTTCTGTTTTTTTGAAAAGTGGTTGAATTTCCTTTGAGGGGTTTTTTAAGAGATGTCATAATGTTTACTAAATGGGCGGTATGTTATGAAAGCGCTAGTGAACATGCTATTTAATAGATAGCATGCACTCTGATTTTAATTAATTTGGAATTTGTGAGACAACGCGTATTCTATTCTATCAAGATGACCATCATGAGCTAATTATAAGCTGAAGGAGTTTATAATGGATCAGCCAGACACCTTATGAATTTAAGTGATATCGGATGCCTTGGCTTCTGGTAGATGGTGTTGTTTTGTTAGATTATTACTCTTACTTGTTCTTTCAGCCAGGTTATCAGTAGTTTGAAGCTTCATTTCGGTTGCATTAATCGAACATGATTATTCTTATTACTCTTATGCGGTTATGCCATTAGTTGCTTGCTTTGCTGATAATAAGATTTCTAAGGTCTTGTGCACATTTTGTTTATTAAAAACCACCGGCTTTGTGAACCTATAAACAAAATGCGTCTATGACTAAAGGTTTGATGCAACAAAAATAATTCATTCACTAGTTACTTCAAGCCTATGATGTATAGGGTTTTGGAACAAGAAATATTTTTCCACGTGAGATGGAAAAATTGTTAATGAAAGCAAGGTTAAATGAATGATGGATATAAATCTTTGTGTTCGTGAATGCTTTATCCATAAATTTGGTATAAGAAAAAGATGAAAAGTTTTACAGAGGACATGTATTTTAATGGTTCTTTGAATATGCTTAAAGATGGTGCTTTTTTGAAGAAATTGAAGCAACTAAACCATTTGAGTTTCACATAATTATGCAGATTTTTGTTGGAGCTCCGTAATGTTCAACTGCTTGCTAGTTTCTTTCAGGATTATTAATAGACTGGACTTTATTATCGTCATAATCAACATTAGCATATTCTTAGCTATTTGGGGTCAACCTTATATGTTATAATTATTATAATTTTGTTTATATGCTTCTTGTGGTGTGATAGACTATAGATTTGATATTAAATTTTCATGATCTTGCAGCCAATCAAAGCATACAACTATATCCACAAATATGGACACAAGTCAAAGCTGATGGCTGCAGCAATCCGCAATAAGCAGGACTTATTTGGTCTTCTTGGGTGTGTTATGCTAACTAAACTTTGCTAATCTTCATTGTAACATACCTTGGTAACCGGTAATATTGATCACATCTTACTTTTTGTTCTCAGGGTTGATTATATCATTGCACCACTGAAGATATTGCAATCCCTAAAAGAATCTGTCACATACCCTGATGAGAAATACTCCTACGTAAGAAGATTAACTCTAAGCTCTGCAAAGGAATATGAATTCAGTGATGAAGAGGTATTGTCTGTTTTGTGTTTCCTATGTTTTATATGGCGCTCCAGAATAATTTTTTTCCACTCATATAAACAGTTAACGAATCTTGTTAATGGGAGATAAGATCTTTCCATGTTGAGTAGAATTCCAGCCTTGCAACCTCTTCCTTGCATGCGTTATCTTTCCCACCATTTATCCACCACTTCTGCCGATTCAAGCAAAGCGATCTCTTTTAATTTGAAGACCACACTTACATCGTCTTTGTGTTTGACCTAAATTAAGTAGGATAACTACATGATGATGACAAATAACAGTCAATTTTTGTATTATCAAAAACAACAACATTAAGCCTTATGGACTATGTGGAGTCGACTACATGAATCATTTTTTTTTTCTATTGTCTTGTTAAGAGTCAAATCCTCATTTAAATCTAAAAAAAAAGGTCATTTCTAATATTTTCTAACCAAGTCTTTTTAGGCCTACCTAGGGGTGAAAGTGAGCCGCAGTCGGCTTGAGCTCAACTCATTTATGGGCTCACAAGCCGAGCTTATCGAGCTCACAAGTCGAATTCGAGCTTGATGAGGCTCGGCTCGTGAGCTAGCTCGAACAATTTTTAATATTTTTAAATAATTTATTTTATTTATTAAATTTAAATATTTAAATAATAATAATAATAAATATTATAAGGTAAAAATAAATTAATATTTAATGTTTAAAATTAATAATAAATGTTTAAAATATTTAATAAAAATTTAAATATTATAATATTTATAATATTTAAAAAATCCCATCTAGACTCGCGAGCCGGCTCGAGCTCGTTATAGTTGGACGAGCTGGAGTTCGAGCCAACATTCTGACTACGAGCCGAGCTTGGTAAAGGCCACTACTCGATTCGACTCATTTACACCCCTAGTCTACCTCTACCTTTCTTAACAATATATCAAATCTAATACATCTACTCTCTTAAATGGATCATTTAGAAAACGACATTTTATGTGACCAAATCATCTGAGGCGACTCTCTTTAATATTATCTGTCACTAGAGCTATTTCTAACCATTTCACGTATATCTGTTTCACATTCTGCCTATAAGAGTGAAGCTACTCATCACACATCATTTCAATGGCAACAGCATTCTCATCTCTACAACACTTAATTTTATGTTACTCTTTTAATTGCCAACATTCCATGCCATAGAACATTACAGGTTTCATCACCATCTTGTAGAATATTCCCTTAAGTTTGAGGGGTTCTTTTCTATCACACCATAGACTCGATGCATTCCTCCATTTCAACCATCCAACTGTCTACTAATAATAGCCCCATCTATTTCAACATCACTTCGGTACAATAAAACCTGAGATATCTATGACGTGTTCTTTTAATTAATGACTTGAGCGTCCAAAGTTACAATCCCTCAACTAGATCTATTACTATTAAAATTAAACTCCATGTATTCGGTTTTAGCTCTACTCAAACGAAACTCTTTAGACTATTAGGTTGCCTCCATAATTCAACTTTACTTTAACTCCTCTCTAGTCTGATCAACAAGAAGATATCATTAGTAAAAAACATACACCAGGGTACATCTCTTGCAAATGTCTAGTAATAACATCCATGCTAAGCAAAATATAATGGGCTTAAGCTGATCGTTGATGTAATCCAACAGAAATAATACTTGGTCAAACCACCTTGTGTTTACATGTACGTAATAGCTCCTAAATACATATTCTTAATGACTTGAATATAATTATTAACAATTTTTTCTAGAACTCTCCAGAGCACTTCTTTTGGAACTTTATCATATATTTTCTCTAAATCAAAAAATATCATATATAGATCATTCTTATTCTTCTCTATACTTTTCTTCATGAAACCTTTCAATAAATGTATAGGCTTTCATACTAGAAATACCCAACATGAATTCAAATTTATTTTTGAGAAACATTAGTATACGTCATAACTTATGCTCAATAACTCTCTCCCCATAATTTTAAAGTTTGATAGCATTAACTTAATTCATCTATAATTCACACAATCTTGTGCATCATCTTTATTCTTCAAAATATGACTTTTTGGTCTTCAAAATAGTATTTTCGTAAGCCAATGATTTTCTTCATCTCCTAAGCTTTTCTATACATCTATTGGAATATCATTAGGTTCAACAATTTTTCCACAGTTCATTTTCTTTAAAGCCTCTCTAACTTCATGTTTACTAATATGCTAATAAAAATAAAAATAAAAATATTTTCATTTAAGGTGCAAAGGTCACTAAAGTCAATCATATTCTCACAATTTTCATTGAAAAGTTTAACAAAATATCTCATACATCTTTGTTGAATATCTTTGTCTAATAAAAATTCTTTTTTGATCTCCATCTTTTGATGCACTTCACTTAAATCAAATCATTACTTCTCCCATCTCTTTGTTTAACTAACTATATATATATATATATATATCTTTCATCTTTGTTAGTATCTAATCTATTATATAAATCATTAAAAGTTAAATTACATCGTATATTGTTTTCTTAAACTCCTTACAACATTTTTTTATATCTTTCAAAAAATTTTGAGCATTTACATCTAAACCAATTTTTATAATAAAACTTCTTATTTTTAATCCGTCTTGCACATTTTGATTATACTACCAACTATTTTTGCTTTTAGAAACTTTTTTTTATGCCTCAAGCATATTATTTACAACATTCTTAATGTAACTAGCTATTTTTTCCCATATAACATTAGTTTTCTCATGTATAGTCAAACTCTTATGAAATTGAATCATACTCTCAAAAATATTTTTGTTGGTATTTTTTTTAAAATGCCCCCATCTAATCCTAGGATAATATTTTACTTTATTTTTCATATTCTACGTCTTCATTTTAAAGTCCAAAATTAATAAGCGATGCTGAGTACATACACTTTCACTTGAAATAACTTCACAATCTTTGAGTTTAAATAATCCATTTTTCATATAAAAAATAATTAATTTAAGTTTTAGCATATCCATTCTTATAAGTGATATGATGCTCCTTTTTTTCTTAAATAAGGTATTAGCCTTTACAAAATCATAAGCTATGGCAAAATCTATTGTGATCCTACCACCTTCATTAGTAGCTCTAAACTAACAGCAATCCTGAATATTTTTAAGATCTTTTACCTTTTATCAATATGTTCATTTAAATATCCTATAATAAAAATTCTTTCTTCAAGATGTATTTTTTATATTAATTCTTCAAGTCATTTCAAAATTTTAATTTTAAATATATATTCAAATCTATTTAAGGAGCATAGACACTTATAATATTAATAATATTAGCATCAATAACAATTTTTAAAGCTATAATTATATCTTCAATTCTATTAATTTCTACAATATTATCTTTCAACCTATTATATATAATCAAACATACATCATTTATAGTACAACTCATATATGAATATCATAATTTAAATTATAAACTATCAATCTCCTTAGCCTTTTTTCCAACTCGTTTAGTTTTTTGAATACATAGAATGCTTATCTTTCTATGAATCATATTATCTATTAATTTTATTAATTTGCCTTTATGAGAATCTATATTCCAAGTTACTAGCATAATGTTAATTTATTGGACTAGCTTCTTTGCCTACTTCCGTCCATAATATGAGCAGTTTTTGTACTACCAGTTATTATAAAAAACATAGAAGATCATGCATGTCCATTATGACATAATTCCTAGAAGAATAGAAATGCTATTGAGTTCTTTTAAAAAACAGAACAAAGGCTCGTCTTCAGATGGTCAAATTTATCTTTGTCAAGCATAAATATAAAAAACCATTCTAGTTTATCAGTTCATATTGCCAAGGTCTTAAGTATTGTCATATTGGATCCCTGCTGATAAAAAAAAAATGATGGTTGAGCCTTTACCTTGCTAGGTATGTTGTGGAGCTATTTGTCCTTAAAAAACACTTGAACACTTGAAAGATTCTATTGGATATATTGCATAGAAATGTGTTAAGGTATCGGTACAGTGCAACTGTTTTTGGAAGAATACAGTGACTATAATTGCACTGAACTCGAGTAACCAAGGCATAATATTCTCTAAAAGGCTCCCATGTCACAGGTGCTCACGCAACCATATAATAATCAAATTTAGTAACTCGTTAAACGTAAAATAAAAACCTACTTTTTGCATGTGATGTTCAGCGAACTATAACAGAGTTGTTCTTCGATGCCTCTAAGCCACTGATGGACATGCCATGTTTGTCCTTGGTACTTGTCCAAGAGCTTTATGCCTTTAAAGTCACCTAATCTCCCGGTCAATATAAAATCTATGCTTAATAAGCAAATTCGCTATTTAACTCAATATTAACTATTCAATCCTAGTAGTCCTAGGATAAAAATTAAATTCCACAATACTTTCTTCTAAGACTGCTCCACATTTTGTAATTACCGTATAACTCCATTCATCTGACTTAGGCTTCATTTGAGACGGATTTTTTCGTGCTTCTTAAAGCAGCTTTTAAGTACAAAATGTAAAACTTTTGTACTAGAAAACTGTTTTAAGAAGCAGGAAGAAAGCCATCATTAGTCTTCATTTGAGACAACTTTCTTATTGCTTCTTAAAGCAACTTTTTGTACAAAAATTTAAATTTTGGACTAGAAAGCTGCTTTAAGAAGCAGTTAGAAAGCCATCCCATATGAAGTCTTAATGTCGGCATATTCAATGATCTTAAGAGCCTTCAAAATATGTACACGATCACTTTTTAAATGTTACTTTATGACGTTTTGTCATACATTAAACCATAGAAGCATCCATTTCAAGGCACTGTTGTCTCATCCATCATATCTATTGAGATGAAAGAAAAATTCCTAACCCTTAATATTCGGTTTTGATGGCATAGCTACTGAAATGGGATCAAAGGAGCCTTGCAGCAGCAATGGGACCCTGTGCTGAAGAACTGCTTGCTTCTGGACTCGATGGTTACATTAACCAGACTAAGCGTGTGGAGGAACTATTTGGAAAGATCTGGCCACCACCAAATGTTTAGTATCTGATCCTTGGAGTCAAAACCACATAAAGAACTGCTAAATGTTGTAATAAGTGTAACTGCATTTTCTTTTTCTGTTTTCTTTCAAGATAACTGAAATGATTTCTATTTGCTTCATATTCTCACAATTTGGAGTGCATAATTGAAGTATTGTAGTTTAATAATGTGGAAAGAGCTCCATTATTTGAGTTTTGTGGCTACAGGTTTGTGTGGAAACATATTAGTGAGAAGAGTACTCTTTGTTCAAATTGAATCATATATTTTCTTAGTGATTTTGAGCTTCTGTTTGAATATGACTTGAATTTTAAAATATCGTTCTAACTTGTTTGTTAGTGTTGTTGTTTTTCAAATCTGCATTGTAATTTGGTATAATTGATTAATTGATTTAGTATTATTTAGTTTGTTGGGGGAGGTCAAATGTATCTATATATCTAATTATTTATTTAATATTTTTATCATACATAGCTCTCTAATAACATGCTTAATTTTTAAAATGTATGAGATGTGAAAAACTTCATAAAAAAATTGAATAAGTCATCCTATAAGTAATTAAGTCATGAGTATTTTATCAACAACAACTACAATAATAACAACATCAAGCCTTTATCTTACAACATGTGGTCGGCTACATGAATCTTTTTTTCTTCATTGTGTTATGTTAATACATCTAGTTTCTTAATCGGGTCATCGGGATGAGTATTTTATCAAATATTTGACAAATTATGTGTTAAATAATAAACGAGTATGATCAAATGGATATAAATTAATAAGTTGTTTAGATGAAATTTTAAGTTTTATTTGAATTAATTTAATTATTATAAAGAAGTAAGTAGGAGTTCATTGGTTCTTATTATTATTATTTTTATAGAAAAAATGGATATCAGTCAAAGATGATGCATATTGAAGTCCTGTTTAGTATTTGTGTGGCCCCACATTCTGTTTAATTAAACAAGTAAAGTGTGCACATGCATGCAAGTGCTTGAGTGCCATTGTCCGATTGCTTGCAAGCAAAAGTTTGCTATTTCAATGAAGTATTTGTGTGGCCCCGGCTTTGGCAATCACCTTCCCCTTGCAGCCGCATTCGCTGGCAAAGCGTGGTATCGATTCAATAAGTGCATCTTTTCACTTTGTCGAGCTTGGGAAAAAAAAAATTTTTTTTCCTTAAGCATTTATTTAATTTTACTATTTACACAATAAACCCTAAACAAAAAATAAAATAATATTAAATAATAACACATTCTTTATTCTCTCCGTTACATTTCCATCATCAACAACAAAAGGCAGTGAAATCCACACATCTCGTGAACTCTTTTTGTGCTTTACAAGTCGCGATATATCCCATTAATGGCTTAATGCCTTTGCTAATGAGCTCTCACAAAGACTTTTCCTTCACGCACCACATCATCACTGGCCTCATCAATACATTTAACAGTGAGGGTTCAGTTCGTAGGAGTTATGTTTCATGCATCTTTCTAGGCAAGATCCCATGGCCACTTTCCTCATATTCGACAAGATTCATAACGATTTTTTGATATATCATAAAAAATTATCACAATCAAGTGCGAATCTCAATGCAAATATGAGTCCTAAATTTTAAAAATTAAAATCATGACCATTAGAACTCTGATTTCAATAAGCTTATAGTGAAATTTAACATAACGACATCAAATTTGATCCAATCCAATCCCACATGTGTCCAAATCAAATTATAAAAGCCTATTTGGAAGCTTTAGAGAATTAATTTGAAGATCAAATGATATTCAATTGTGACATGCTTGTAGTCAAATCGAGCGGCTCGACAAGACGAATCCAACGAGCATAATATCTCTCGATTCTGACATCCCTAAGGCATTTAATCTCTTGATAAATGCTCTATGATCAATGGATCACTATAAGTTGTCTAATTGAATACTCCCAACTTGCCCTTGATATTCTCCTTATTTACGGGACATGGCACTCCAAAAAATTTATTAATAGACCCTCATTCTTTACGTGGGGAAGGAGAAGGAAGAAAAGAAAAGGCTCTTGGGCATAGAGAATTCTGATGCTACACCCTGGCATCACCAGGCCACCAATTATTGAACCTCCATATGGCAACCATTAATAGTCCTTTTGATAACTGTCACCTAATTAAGGTCTTTTTGACCACCATTGCCCGATTAAGGTCCTGACCACCGTCGTCCGACTACGACCCTTCCGAGCACCGTCGCCCAACCATGTTACTTTTGACCACCATCACCCGACTACTACAATCCTTCCGACCACCATCGTCTGACTGCGATCCTTCAGACTACCATCATCGACAAATTTCAATCCTTTTAACCACTGTCGTCTATTTATGGTCCTTCCGACCACCATCGCCTTGAAATGTCGCTCACCAACTACAATCCATCTGACCACTGTTGCCCGATTGTGGTCCTTCCAACTTCTATTATCTACCAACTATGATCCCTTTGACTATCATCAAACGATTATGAATTTGCCAACCAAACAAACAGAACAACATTCTTTTGAGAATAACTAGGGTGTTATTCTCCAACTATGCAATGTGTTCTATATAATATAAATTTGCTACATTGAGCTAATGTCTTCCTCTAAGAAAAGACATCATTTGTAATTCCCCCTTTTACATGGTTTCCATATAAAAATTATGGTATCTTTTATGAATACTACACCTCTCTATCTTAACTATTTGTGTGTTGAATATTCATACAAAGCTAGGAAGCTAAATTCTATATCTCTCTTTTGCCGCGAATTTTCCAGGATGCAACAAACTTCATTAACAACATGTTATATTATGTAAATATTATACATTAGATGCTAAATATATAGATCTCATTATCTTGAGTGGTGTGTATATAAATCCTCCTTATTTATATGAAATAACAAAAAAAAAGACTTGATATCATAAGGAAGTTCAATATCAAATGTAAAAGTTGAATGCAACAACAAAAAAAAAATTACTTCTTTAAATTTTGCAAAATTGAATTCTGTTTTATCTGATTTTATTGATATTATAATTTTGTTATCAAATCTTGACATAAATATTAAATCTCAAAATAAAAAAAAACTTTTCATAAATAACTTTTATTATTAAATATAATTCAAAGTTTGTAAATTTATAATTAAAATGGTGACTTTGTCGAGATTATTCCACCATCATAAAAAATAAACAATTTTCTTATGTTTCTATATTTATTATTTAATGAGCAAATGACGAGTGGTATTTATTTTTATTTAAATATTAGAATATTAGGTAAGCCAAAAATGAATTTTATGTTAGAAATATAATTAGCTAATTTTTAGTGAGATATATAGATGAAGAAGCCCTTTTCTCGTAAAGTTTCAATTTTAAAATTTATTAAAAGGAATTCACAAACAGAAATATTACAGACCGAAATGTGTTTCAAATTTTCCAAAAACAAAAAAAAAAAAAAAAGGGCTTTCCAGCTTTCTCGAGACAGCGCGAGCAGTCAAATGGTCTTCGGGGTTAATGGTTTGAACTGTAAAGGCGCCGGAGACCGCGAGAGAGAAGGAAAAAAGCTGCCGTAGGGAGCAGGTGAAGTGAGATCCGGGCCATTCTGTAACTCCACTACCGGAGTTCCCAGGAGGGAGGATGGCGAGGCGGCGGGTGGCTCCGGCAGCTGCATTGGCATTCACATTGGCGGCGACACTTGTGGGGCTCTGCTTGTCCGGCGATCCGTACGCTTACTTCGACTGGAACGTGGCGTACATGAAAACCGCGCCGCTCGGGGTTGAGCAGCAGGTGTGCGCCTCGGCTGCCAGCCTGCTACTACTTTAGATCTGCTATCTTTCTTTTCGTATTTTCCGGAAATGTGTGAATATGGATGGGCTTTACTTTCTCGCCGTTATGTCTTTTCGCTCTTTTCCGCTTTTGGAGCGACGGCATTTCACTTTCACTGTCTCTCGGAGTAATTTTTTTTCCCTTCTTGGTTTCTTCTTTTCTTCGTTTTGTTTCATTCACGCCGTCTTGTCACTAACGGCAGGTGATTTCGATCAATGGAAAGTTTCCTGGACCCGTCGTCAATGTGACGACCAACTGGAACGTGGCGATCAACGTGCTTAATAGCCTTGACGAGCCGCTTCTCATTACTTGGTAGGGATTTTCAGTCATTGGTTCTAATGTTTTTGCAGTTGCTGTGCTACTGCTTCAAATTAGACGAATAAAGTTTAATTTCAGTTGATGTGGTAAAGAAATTGGGTTGGCTTGTTAGGGATGGTGTGCAACATAGGAAAAATAGCTGGCAAGATGGAGTTCGCGGTACCAACTGCCCGATCCCAGCTGGATGGAATTGGACTTACCAGTTCCAGGTCAAAGACCAAATTGGGAGTTTCTTCTATTTCCCCTCAATCCTCTTCCAGCGTGCAGCGGGAGGGTATGGAGGATTCACAGTCAACAACAGGCCGATTATCTCGGTGCCTTTTGACACGCCATATGGCGACATCAGTCTCTTTGTGGGTGACTGGTTCAGTAAGAACCACAAGGTGACTTTCAATTGCAACATTGCTTAGTTGGAAGAACTATGAGAAAAAATAAAGGTGTAGATGATTTGATTTATGCGGAGTTGGTGTGTTTACTTGGTTTTGTAGGACTTGAGGGAGGAACTTGATCAAGGGAAAGCTCTGGGGATACCGGATGGCGTCCTCATTAATGGAAAAGGTCCTTATAGGTACAACAAAACACTTGTTCCGGTTGGAATCGATTACGAGACCATCGATGTTCATCCAGGTGATAGCCTTTTCTGAGGAATCTCCTCTTTGTTAGTTTGATAGCGGAAGATACTCTTGGAGAACTGAATATCTGATCAGAGTCTGGCTTTGACCAGTTATGCTGCACTCATTTTCTTCTTTTGCTGTTTGCATCCATCAGTGAAAGTTCAATTTAGGAGTTTAGCTTTGATTAAAGCCTGTCTTGTTTTAAATGCTAAATTGGTTTCTTGGGGTCTTTTTAAGAAATGAAACTCTTTCTTAGATTATTTGTCGTATGAAAAAAGATTGGGAGCTTTTCAATCATGATTAGTTCTTTGAATTATTTATTATTATATTATTCTTGTTCAAGTGAATGGTTTTTTTTGGAATTAGTTCTCAGAAATCATCAAACAAATTAGGAATGATCAAAGAAGAATCCTAGTTAAATTTTTATCAGCTTAGCTCTGTCTGTTAGTATATCGGTCTTTATTATGGTAAATCTTCATATCATGTTATTCTGATGATTATTTTAACTGCTACAGGGAAAACTTATCGGTTTCGTGTCCACAATGTTGGAATCTTTACTTGTTTGAACTTTAGAATTCAATCCCACAACTTGCTTCTTACTGAGACAGAAGGATCGTACACAGTTCAGCAGAATTATACCAACCTAGATATATTTGTTGGGCAGTCCTACTCTTTCCTGATTACTATGGATCAGAATGCAAGCACTGACTACTACATTGTAGCAAGTGCTAGGTTTGTAAATGGATCAAAATGGGATAGAGTTATAGGGGTTGGAATCCTTCATTATTCGAATTCCAAGGGCAAAGCATCTGGTCCTCTTCCAGACCCTCCCAATGATGTATTTGACAAAACATACTCCATGAATCAGGCAAGATCAATCAGGTTTGCCACATCCTTGTACTGGTTTGATTGTAAGAAGTTTAGGTTGGTTATTTTGTAACAACTATAGTCATTCTTCATTGGTTGTTTGCTTATTTGTTAGAAACTTAATGCTGCTTAGCTATTATCATATGTTCTGCTTCATTCCAACGCAAATTTTTTCTTTAGAGAATGATTTATATAGATACAATTTAATAGGAGTTTCCGTGCGAATGATAATTCATTAGCATTACTCATGTATGTTAATTTCATATATTTGAGATCGTTTGTTAGAGCGTTCTATAAACATTTTCAGGTGGAATGTGACTGCTAGTGGTGCCCGTCCCAATCCCCAAGGTTCTTTTAGGTATGGTTCCATCAATGTCACTCAAATGTATGTTATAAAAAACAAGTCACCTATGCTTATTAATGGAAAACTTCGGGCAACACTCAATGGGATTTCTTATTCACCTCCTGAGACGCCGTTGAGGCTTGCTGACCAGTATGACAAGAAGGGAATCTACAAGCTTAATTTCCCTACCAAAGCATTTCCAGGACCACCAAAAATTGCAACTTCTGTAATTAACGGTACATACAGGGGTTTCATGGAGATCGTATTTCAAAATAACGAGTCGAGAGTTCAGAGTTATCATCTGGATGGATATGCCTTCTTTGTTGTTGGGTATGGACACTTTTGTATGTTAGCTTACATAGCGTGTACTTTTTGGCACAATCTTTGTAGTGACGTCAAATAAATGATTTTGAAATCTGTAGGATGGATTATGGGGAGTGGGCTGAGAATAGTAGAGGCACATATAATAAATGGGATGGTGTTGCTCGCAGCACAATTCAGGTGAATAATTTATGCTTTAGTTAACTTCAAGTAAATCAATTTCTTTAGCAGCATCTTAAAGTTCTATGTTAATCTTTAACGTATGCATTGCTATATTAACTTTTTACTTTGCTTCTCATATACATTTATCTTGATTGTAGAAATGTCCAACAATGTATGGCAAGGCCTTTTTGCTGCTTTTCATCTTTGATTTTTTGCCCCTAATAAATATAGCCACTCATGATATATAGTCCACTAGTTTATCTTCTTGCCAAAGTCATATTGTTTATCGTGCATATTTAATTATTAGAATCATGCTAGGATAATAGCCTTCAACATTTATATTTCTCATTGCTATTAATGGCAACCCTCACCCATGACTTGTTGTTGACTTCAAATTTTTTTTCCTTAGTTTCTCCTCATTTTGGGAAAGTTTTACAGTATTTCAGATCAATTTTTCATAAAGCAGATTGAATTTGAGATAAGATAATATCTTGATATTTCGTCCTCATTTTTGCAAGAACTTTATAATATGATTTTAGATTTATTATAGGTGCAAATACCTATGATTAATTACTTTTTTTTTGGTGAAGTATGAAAATTTTTTATCAAGATTAATCGTTAAATAGACAATAAATATCTTGGTGTCTACTAGCAGCATCTTAAAATTTAAATTTTAAAAGTTGGGGTTTGCATGAAGAGGGCGTAGAGTTGGGTGGTTCGATTTGTGTTGCTCGTGTGATTCAGCATTGGGCTTAAAGCCTAGTTCAGGTATTACATAAACCCTAAATCCTAAAATCTAATACGTGTGACATATTATATTAACTCTGAAGATAAATATAAAATACATAATCAGACTAAACAGAGAAATTAACGCACAAAATTTAAGTGAGCTATAGTGTAGATTTTATGATAAAGCTAATGAGTGACTATTCAAATATATAAGACATAAAATTTTGTAATATATTCTTGTTAGCTGTTTCTTTCAGGTTTATCCGGGAGCTTGGACTGCTGTCCTGGTTTCACTTGATAATGTTGGTACCTGGAATTTGCGCTCAGAAAATCTTGATTCGTGGTACTTAGGGCAGGAGACCTACATTAAAGTTGTCAACCCTGAAAGCACCAACAAAACCGAACTGCCTGTACCTGATAATGCTCTTTATTGTGGACTCCTTGAGGACATGCAAAAGTAATCATTCATTATAGCCAATTTGGTTTTTTATGATTTATTTGAGATTATTATAATCATCTCTTGGAAAAAATGGAGCACAGGGTGAGTACATATAGCTATTTGCTCGTGTTCTCAAGGAGATTATTTTGTGCGGAATCTAGATGAAAAGACTGTTTGGACGTGTGAGTGTACATACAGTATGTATCAATTTTTTGTATACACTGTGTATATACTAATAGTCCGAATGATTTTTCCTATCTGGATTCCGCACATAATAATTTCTTATTCTTTGGACGTAGATGGTGTTATATATAGTTTGGATCTAATAATTTCTCCTGAAACAGATCCTAAATCATTAATATAAAGGGTTTAGACTGACGGTGTGAAGCTTTCAGGCAGCAGAAACCGCATGCGGAGGCCTTGGAGTCGTTATCGACAACCATTACAGGAGGAAGGCCAGTGGTGACGCTCTTATTAGCTGCATTGCCTTTGTTGTTTTAACATTCGAGACTTCAGATTAACTTGAGCTAGCTTATTATTATTATAATTTTGTTCTTAATTGGGTTTTGTGAAGGATAACTTATCAGCTAGGTGTGTGGAGTGGTAAGGATTCCAGGCGTTGTGTTGGCCACATGTTTTTTAGGTTTTCCAGTGTTTGTGCCGTTTGTTTTCTTATTATTTATGAAGTGTCCTTTTTTTTTTGTCATAATTTTTTTGATGCTATTTTTAGATTTTTTTTTCTTTTTATAAGATGTTTTTCAGAACTAAAGCTGCAAAAAAAAAAAAAAAAAAAAAAACAAGAGGCTTACCTTTGATATTTTTAGGTGGAATGCTTATAACATTCATGACAATAATCAAATTCCATGTTTTGTTTTCTTGACAGCAGCTACACTGCAATCATCTCAAACATCTTAAAATTCCCACAAAATTGAAATAATTTGATTTTTAAGTTGTTTGATCGTCTAATTTGTTCTAAATAGCCATGAAGGATTCGTTCATGCTGTCCTGTGGATTTAGGAACATGGAAGAAGAAGAATTAAATTTATTTTAATGGTAAAAAATAAAAAAAGGCTTTTAATCTATATGATAACATTACAGATTGTGGGGGGAGAGAGATAGAGACAAAGAGGAATCAAATCAAAATTAACGCTAAGAAATGATAAGGACAAAAGTCTGTTAATTCAAAATTTGAAAAGGAATACATGTAAATATGTAATTCGGTACACAATTATCTTTAAAAAAGTCGAAATAAACTTAATAATAAATAATATTTATCAAACAAAATACTTTAAAAATGAAGAATCCCTAAATCATTAATGACTCTTGCTAATGACAAAATTTTAAAGTAAACATCTTTAGAGATTTAATTAGTTAATTTGTTATCAAAAAAGTTTTTGAAATTAGTCATAGTTGCCCGAGTGACTTTGATATGTAAGTCCAATTGGGCAACTTTGAAATTTTAATATTTTTAAAAAATATTTTAGCATTGCTTATTAAAAATCTAGATCAAGTGTTGAAGGCATTGCTTATTTTCATAGCTTTCATAATAAAAGTGAAATAATTTTGGCGGTGTAGTTGTTTCTAAATTATCAAATGAAATTAAAATAAATTGATTTAAAAATTTATTATATAGATAATATCGTGTACATTATTTAACTTAATTATCTCAAATGATCAAATTACATAACAGTAGAGTTAGCGTAAGTTAATTAAAATCTAATATTAACTAACTAACTTACTACATTATTTTTTAATAAGTACTCATATATAGCACTAACTAACTTACTCATATTAGAGAGTTCACTCTGTTGATCAAAGTACAGTAAAGGCTGCTCTGCTAGGGTTTCGTTCTTTTCCTAGTCGTCGGAGCCGTTGGTTCACTTCCTTCCTCTCCCCTCTTCCGGCTTTGTCGGAGGAGCTATGGCCAACTTCTCTTCTTCTCCTGAGGAGTTTCCTCCTCTTGCCTCCAAGGTTTCTTTGCTTCCTTCGGGTCCTGCCCTTAGCTACAGCAACATCGTGGCGGCCCCTCGCCCAGGGAACACTTTCCAGCTCTCTTCTTCGACTGCTCCAGATGACCCCTTGGACTTCAATGAACCTCAAGTTAAAGCTGCCAAAGATGAATGGGGACTGTCGCTGATTGGATACTCCATAGGTAGACGCCCCTACTACGAATCTTTGCTTTCTGCCATGCGTAAGGTATGGAAGCTGAAAGGTATGATGAAATTACTTTCGTTAAGTGATGGATTCTTCATGCTCAAGTTTTCGACTGATGAGGATTACGATATGGCTTTGGCGGGTGGTGTTTGTTTTTTTCTTGGAAAACCATTTGTTTTGCAAAAAATGGGTTCCCAATTTCAAACCCGTGAGGGAAGAGTTTACCTCCATCCCGATTTGGTTCAAAATTATTGATCTACCCCTTCCTTGCTGGACTCCTGATGGTATTTCGCGGATTGCCAGTAAAATCGGGAAGCCTCTAGCAGTTGATGATCTCACGGCTAAGAAAACTAGACTCACGTATGCGCGTGTTTGTGTCCAGGTTTCTAGGGACTGTGCTTATCTTGAGACTATTCCAATCACAATTTTAGGGGAGCCTTTTACTCTCAAGATACAATATGAATGGAAAACTCTTCCATGTCAACACTGTGGATCTATTGTACACACTCCAGATTTTTGCCCATCAAAACCGCCATCTCCTCAGTCCGATGTCCAAATCCCTTCGCGGGGGAGGAGTAACAGTCGCAAGCCGCCAAGACCTTCTCAAAGAAACTCTTCAATAAATTCTGCTCCACGGAATAATCCTTTTACATCGTCTGATGGGTTTAATTCTACTCCACCTGTTAGTCATGTCGTTACACAACAACCCCCAACTTAGATTCCAGCAATCAACAATCAAATCTCTGCTAACTCCACCCCCGCCACTTCTCAGCCATCTCTTGTTGTTATCCCTCCTTACAACATACATACTACATTTACCAACATCCCAAATTTAAACTCGCCCATGGATGAAGTGCCGATCACTAGCTCCATCATAATTCCACAACAGCAAGACAAAGTTATATCGCCTAATAAATTTGCTCTTTTGGAGGAAAGCAATGTTATTTTACAGACAACATCTTCTTCTTCTAGTCAAGAACAGACACGTAATGTTTCACAAGCTCAGCCAAAAGCTTCTAGGAGTAAAGCAGCCAAAAAAACTCCTAACCACCACACTAAATCCCAATGAACCCTCCTCGTCTTGCTGCTTGGAATGTGAGAGGTTTCAATAGCCC